AGCAACCCCCCCCAACCCCCCAACCTCTACTTTGCGCATACTACGCTTGCGCAGCCCCCAGCCAAGCCACTGGTGGAGCACCTGGAGCGCAAGGCGCGTGCCGAGGCGGCCGAGTCGGACAAGCTGAGGAAGGAGGTGAAGGCGCTCAAGGGACGGATGATGAGTTTGGAAGGAATGGTGGCCGAAGAGAAGGAAGAGAATCGCAAGTGGCGACAACGATGGTCACACGATCAAGATACCATATACTCGTTGAAGAAGCATCTGAGAGAGGTTCAGATGGCAACGGCCGCAGCATCATCATCGTCATCATCATCATATTCGTATTCATCGTCATCGTTATCGTTGTCTTTGATTCGTCGTCAGAGTCCTGATCGCCGCTCTGCTGGTCGTCTTGCTGCTGCTGCTGGTGGTGCTGGTCCTGCTGCTGCTGCTGCTGCTGCTGCTGCTGCTGGTGCTGGTCATGCCTCGTCGCCTTCTGTGGCCATCTCCGCCACTGGCGCCTCGTTGTCCTCCTCGCCTGTCTCGGCTGCTGCTTCCATGGCACGATCGTCGGGTGTTGCTTGTTGTGGTGCTGCGGATAAGCTGGTCAAGGCGAGGAGGAAGATCGGCTTGTTGCAGGCGGCGGTGGATGAGGCCAAGGCTGCAAAGGCACGGGCTGGGGCGGGATCGGCTGGAGGCGCGAGTGCGCGGGGGTCTGGGGGGGTGAAGCATCATGTCACTGCTGAGGATGATCTGAGGAGTGCTGTTGAGGCGGCCCAGCGGAAGGCTGCACGCGCCCGTGATGTCGCTGAGGCCCAGGCGCATGCCCGGAAGCGGGCAGAGGCCTCGCTGGCTGCCTCGCGGAACAGGATCACCCTGCTGGAAGAGCGCAATGCGGTGCTTGAAGCAAGGGTAAGTAAGCTCCTGGCCTCATCGGCGCAGGCTGCCGAGGAGGCCCGTTTTGAGCGTGACATCCTCCGCATGGAGGTCGAGCGTGAACGGCAGCGCAAGGCGCCGTCGCCAGCAGAAGCCCTCCTTCTCATGTACGAGCGCCAGGCCCACTGGCTGGGTAAGTACAAGGAGATGAAGAATTACGCCCGCGATCTCGAGGCTGAGCTCGACCGCGTGTATGCCGCCCGGGCTGGCGCAGGTCCTCGAGTCGATACCACAACCGCGCGACCGTCGACCATGGACGATGACGAGGCCGACAAGGCCGCAGAGGCGGCAACAAGTGCCGCCGCCGCAGAGGCAGGCATCGCCGTGGAGGCCCCGGCAGTGGAAGACCCCGAGGCCGCAGCGTATGCACGGGCGCAGGCCAAGCTCTTTGAGCGGGTCGGGCGCAGAGGGGGCGGGCGAGGCGGGCGCAGTGGCAGGAGCGGAGCCGCAGCCGCGGCTGCAGCCGCGGCCGCAAAAGAGGCCGCAGCCACAGAAGCCGCACGCTCATCGATGGGAACATGGATGCAGGGGAGAGGCCGAGGGAGGGGTCGGCGCGCGAGAGGTCGAGGCAGTTGATGAGCAGATGAAAGCTGCTCAATGAACGCAGCGTGTCTGTGCGCTGTTTGACGATCACCGATTCTCTCCCAAAATGATTGCTTTGATGGCACTATGAAGACGTTAGAGATGTGGATACAGACAGCGTCAGGAGAGTGAAGTAAACAAGGTGCGAGGAGCAGCATAACGTGATTGAGTTGATTGTGTTCAGTGTGCCAGTTGCTGTGCTTGTAATGCTTGCGAAGCAGGTCGCCAGCCGCACTAGGGCGTCATCATGCTTTCAACCAGTTTCGAACTCAGTACCACAAAATTCAGCCCCATATACAACACCCATCAGCCATCATGACTCCGCTTGTCCACCAACACCACATCACGCCCAAGGTGTGGCTGCGCACGGTAAGAAGAGGGTGTGGAGGGTGGCAAAAGCAAAAAAAAAAGGGGCTCTGCCGGTGATCGAAACCGGGACCTCTTCAACCCTAATGAAGAATCATGCCACTAGACCACAGAGCCGTAAGCTAACCGATTAGCTTGAAGACGTCGGTCAACTAATTGTCTTTAACTAGCACATTGCGTTCCCCTCTCCGGACCGATCGACTTGCGCGGCTCTCTTGGGCACACGACACACATCTAGCAACCAGACACTCCCACACAACACTAACAACTAAAAGGTCAAATAGTCCATGTGTGCTTGTGGTGTGTTTCTGCTTAAGAACAGTGAAAAGATGGTCCACACGGCTGTGAGGCCAGCAGCCATCCTCCGTCCACCACTCGACGAGCCGACCAATTGATGGCAACGATAACTCACGTTGTCTGCTGCTTCACCACCATGACACCGATGATTCCCACCACACCTCCATCCCTTCCATCGCCTTCGCGCCTCTCTATACTATGATCCCCCTCGCCATTCTTACCTACAATCGTACGATCACATCCTGATCGCATCCTTTACTAATAACCGGCCCATGCCCGGCTTTGACGCGGCGACTCGCCGAAAAATATGTCCTTTGCCTCTTCCACCCCTCTAACCCCCCCCCCCCCGCCCTCCCCCCGCCTGCCTCATAACTTGACATGGCTACACGATTGTACCGGGTACTACTTCCTTGGGTGGACGAGAAACAAGGAAGTGTGGTCTGGGCTGCAGAGGAGGTTGTCTCGCGTGTCGGCGTATGTGCGGCAATTTTTCTGTTTGTTACCCTCACCCTCCTCATCACCATCACAAACATGTCCTCGTCAAAGTGGCTGGCTCTTGCACTCCCCGCTCTAGCTGCATTTTATATCATTCGTGGCCTACATTGTTCTGCTTCGTCAGATGCTCGTCTCCTCGCTGCTTTCTGCATCGTCATCGAGCTCATCATGTTCATCGTCCTTGCCACAGCATGGTCTCACAAGGTCAATGGCCTTGCTCCAGAGGGCCCCATGATCATCATGTCTGTCATCTGGCTTGGATCTTCTGCAGTTGCTCTCATTGTAGAGGCTCTCGATCTGATGGCAAGCACATCATCGACTCTCATCCCCTTTGCTCATTCCAAACTCCTCGCTGCCCGTCGCCACGTGCGCTCGCTCCTGAGCTTGGATCAAGGCCAGCCGCCGGCTGAGGTCTACTTTGTGCCGGTGCTCATGATCATCTCCGCGCTTCTTACCGTCTTTACCGTCTCTGTCGTCCTCACCCTCTCGTGGATGTTTGTGGACATCATCATCGTCATCCTCAAGGGCTTGGTCCTCGAGTTGGGCCTCAAGCCGGGCATGTTTGACTCGGTCATCGCCTTTCTCCGCTTTCTCCGGGTCGTGTGGACCATTGTCATGGCTCTTTTCTCTCTCCACGGCGCCTATGCCATGACAGCCCAGTGCAAGCTCGATCAGAAGCGGATGGCACAGACCGGCGTCTTACCGGCTGAGGTCGAGATCGTGCCCTGGAAGCACCGGGTCACCACCTCGCCGCTCGCCGCCGCCATCATGCCGTCCGTCACTATGCTCTCGGCCGCCGTAAGCACCACTATCCTCTCCGTTGTCGTCATCCTCTCCGGCCTCACTGCCGCCCTCTTCTGGGTCTTCACCTCCTGGTTCTCAGACTGGTCCGTCCACTGGCTCATCGCCACCATCATCAGCTACTCCATCACCCGCGGCATCAAGCGCGCCGAGTACCAGTTCGTCTTCACCGGAGACGGCGAGATCAAGCGCCCAGTTGCGAGCGATCTCCTCTACTACGCCAACCTTGTCGTCTATCTCGGCATTGGAGCCCCGCTCTCGCTCTTGCACTTTGTCGTCTTTGTCTTCCTCCACATCATCCAGTACTACCGCCCCGACAAGTCCTCCCAGCCGCGAGGCCTTGAGCTCACTCCTGTTGATGTCGGCTTTTGCTCTTATGTTGGTATGCTCCTTGCCGATCGCCAGGTGAACAACCCCGTGCTCCGCGTCGCCGTCGACATCTTCAGCTCGCCGCGCGATGGCCCCGCCTCCTCTCCCGCCCGCAACCGTTGGTTCCTCGCCCTCACTCTCATCAACAACCCAGCGCTCGCCCGCTACCGCCGATCGGCGCCAAGAGCAGACTCTGTCGCGGACAACGAAAGTAGTAGCGTCGCAAGCAACAGCTCTACATTTACCACTAGCGACGGCGACGGCGACGACGACAACGACAACATCTTCTTAGACTCCGACTCGTTTGATCCCGAGGCGCCGCTCATCCACCTGTAGCCGCACCAGCTTCAAGCTTGTTGTTAGCAAAGACATCTTACCAGTACTCTGTCCCCACTTTGCGCTGCAAGCACACGAACGCTGCTTCACGTAGAGCTGTCAGCAGTGTCGGCAGTGTCGGTGGTGTTGGCATTGTCGGCGGTGTCGATGGTCAAGGTGTACGGTGTCGTCGGCGGACCGATGAGAATCGGAGGTCGGCGAGGTGCAAATGCAAGCGCGAGCGGAGTCTTCGGCACTCGGAACACGAGCGGATACGTCTCACCAGCAAAGCAGAAATTCAGGTCTTCCACCGCGACTGCATCTCTTACTCGCTTCGGCCGCTTGATCTTACCGAGGTAGCGGAACACACCCGCGTCAAGCTGCCAAAGTCGCACATTGTCACTCCAGCTCGTTGTCGCTGTGGCGACCGTAAACGGTGTAAACTTAAGAAACCAGATTGCGCGCACAGACGCGCTGTGTCCCGACGAGGAGCCTGTCAGCACAGTCACAGGAGGATTGTAGCGCTTCGGGTCGCCTGGAGAGACATCTGGCGCATGCCATACCCGTATGGTCCCATCCATCGCCCACGACACAAGTATTGGGAGCGTGTGGTCCGCGCTGGTAAGGTGCGCCACTGCGACCACACCACACACTTGGCCCGTGTGGCCGCGCAGCTTCTCACAGCTGCCATCGTCATGTATGACCACAATCGAATGGTCTGACAGCCAGGTCACGGCCAGCTGTGGTGACAACACCGCAGCGCCGATCACAGCTGCGCTGTTCAGCACGTCGACCGGTACGGCACCGCAAGTCTCCGCTACTTCAGAAGACGTTGACAGGAGCTGTAGCGGCTGACCGCGACCCGCCCACAACCACAGCTGGTCATGTTCTGTTGCCACCGCGAGTCGGGCGGCTTCGGCGTACACCACGCGCTCCTCGTCATCGTCACCCACACCGATCTCGATCACCGTGCCGTTCTTGCGCCACACCAGGACACGGTCGTCATTGCTCCGAGTAGAAAACACTGCCTTGATCCCCTCCTTCACGTCTAGAGCGCCCATCACACGGTAAAAGCTTCCGGACATGCGCCACACCTGGACACAGCTCTCGGTCCATGTGGCCAGAACAGGCGAGCTGTCAGAATTCTCGAGTTCGGTCGACAGGACCACCAGCCCCGCCACAGCATGACCACCGGCAAGGATTCCACAGCACTCGCCCTCGTACCGCTCGCCGTTCCAGCGCCACATCCAAACCACAGGCACCTGTGCCCACTCGCCGGCGCGCGACCATGACAATAGCGCCGGGAGACCATCGGCACCAGCAGTCTCGATGACAATCACATCTTCCACGGCCATCGGATGGCCACCCAGCACCGTGCTGTGGTAGAACGGTGGCTCATCCGTCGGCGTCCACACCCTCAATGTGCCGTCGGCAGACCACGACACAAAACTGTCGTTCCGCAGCAAGCTGATGCCGCGCACAGCCTCTGCGTGTCCATCGAGTACCGCCAGACGCTTGCCCGCCACAACGTCCAGTACATCAACGGTGGCACCGCAGCCCACAGCCACACGGCTGCCACTCAGCGCCGTACACACCGGGCCGGCGTTGGCCCCAGAAAAACGTACCGCTGCGCGCCACGATGTGAGCTTGGGTCCATGGCGTAGATGGGCACATATGTGAGATGAGACAGACTCGCACGCGCTGCCGCTTCCAGCGCAGCAAGTTCGGACGTCACACCTTTGTATGCCAACCGCCTGACAATGGCCGCACCCAGCGTGCACTCGCCCCGCGCAATCATGTCCTGCGACAGTGCCAGTGCTCGCTCCAGCTCAGCAACGACACTCACCCGCTCAACACGCAGCTCAGCCACCGCACGGAGGTCTGCAAGCGCGCCGGCCACATCGCCGGCCACCCGCGCACTGAGCCAGTCCCATGACAGAACCACATCAACAGCAGTCTTGTGCGCTGCCGGAGTGTTGGCCGCCACAAGATGGTAAACACCGTGGACAAATGCCCACCTCTCGCGCTCGCTTGACTCGCCCGATTTGCACATGACGGCAACTGCTGCTGCGGGGAGGCTGACTCTGGAGGGCAGCCGCAGATGAGAGCAAGGTGCCGCGCGGCCAAGAGAGTAGGCTCGACATCAACTGCTTTGCGCAGGAACTCGCGATGGAGGTCGTGGAGTTCAACGCCAACGACCAAGCCTTCAGGATTGCGGATAGCAGAGAGCAGCGACGCAGCTTCCAGTGCATCCCACGCAACCTTGCGCACAGCCTCGGACATTTCCAGCGTTGGCTCAATAATGAGCATGTCAATCGTCGTGTCAGATGGAAAAAGGCCAAGCATGGCGTACACATTCCGCGCGTAGTCGTCAAGGCGCATCACGGCATGATACATAATGGCAAAGATGTCCTCATAGCGCGAGCCAGCAAACTTGTCCGAGGCGAGCGAGAGCATAGCATTAAAGTCGCGGTCAGCAGTGTCGAGCTTGTCAACGGTGTCGATCGAGCCACCCAGAACAGCCAATGCGATGGCGTGGTTGTGGCAGAGCTCGGCCAGTCGGCCAATCCTCTCGTCGTCGGGGCCAATACCGTCGAGTCCGACGTGGCGGGTAAGCACAAGTCGCGCGTCGGCTGGCGAGAGCATGCCGAGTGTCACCGTTGCAGTAGACGACACCATGTTGGCCGAATTGCGGGTTGTGACCAGGACGGCGTGCGGAGGACGGACAGCCTTCGTGAAAACCTCAGCTTGTCGCGCGGTCCACACATCATCGAGCACGAGAAGGACACGAGTTCCCGCCGCGGCAAGAACTATTAGTTGATCAGCAAGGCTGCGCTGGAGATCGTCCAGCTCGGCAAACTGTGAGACTTTGTAACCGAGACCCTGCTCGAGAAGGTAGCCCAGCTTGCGCGTGAGAGCATCGCTCGAAGTGCGGTCCTCACCCAGCTCGAGCCAAAATACTCGAAACTCGGAGACGATGTCGGGCTGGGTGGCAATGTCGGCAGCCAGGAGTGACTTGCCGATGCCACCGAGACCTTTGAGACCCACGACCGTCACGCTCTCTTCCTTCAGCAACGCACAGACGGCAGCGGCACGCTTGGAGCGCAATGGCACGTATGCAGACGGGAGTGGCTTGGGCGGAAGGGTCGACGGCAGAATGCGAACCTTTGAGAGCACCTTCAGCGAGCGGACCGCCAGGTCTTCTAACGACGTCTCGACAGAGATCTGACGCAAGTCATACAGTGCCAAGCCATGGTCAAGAAGCGCATAGGCCGTGATCACGTGATCGACCTTGTCGGTTGGAGTGAGATGTCTGTGGCGCCAGGTCCGGAACTGACGCTCTTGGTCTGGCACTTGGAAGAACGTGTACATGAGCTTGATGACAGAGTGGAGAGCAGACGTGGAGGCCTTAACTGCTATTTGCAGAGAAGCGTTGGATTGATCGCCTTGGAGCGCGGCATGATCAGCCTCGGCAGCAGCGAGGAGGTCGTCGAGGTTGGCCAACTTGTGGGGTGCAGGGAATGATTTGAGCGTAGCAAGCGAAATGTTGCCATGGCCGGGAAACACCGGGAATACCTTGCAGTGGTTTGCCGGACAAAGTGCGGCCTTGGCCTCGGCCACAGCCCAGCGTGTAACGAGAAAGTACTCAGAGACGATGACAACAACGACCCGCGACGCCTTGACAATGTCGGCGCAGTCATCTGGGTATGCACACCGCATGCCGTCAAGTGACTTGGTGTCCACAAAGACCTTGAGGGATTGGTTCCGCTTGAGGATGCGATCGCGGAGGTCGATCGCAAGGCCCTTGTCGTACGAGCCATGACAGATGAAGAGGTCATAGGTCTTTGGGGGCACAGCGGGTGAGGATGACGGCCCGGCTCTGTCATCAGAGTCGGGCGAGAACTCGCTCAGAGTTGACGGGAGAGGCGTTGTAAGTGACGAAGTGGCGGAGTCAATTGGTGCCGAGAGAAGATCGGGGCGAGCGAGACGAAGAAAAGTAAAAACGTCGGGCGAGAGGTTGGGCGTATCGCGCGCGAGGGCATAGGTGACGTCGTCGGGGATGACGCGGTAAGAGACAATGAGCTGGACAAACTCGACGTCGTTCAGCAGAATTGCGTGCTGAAGCGCCGACTGATAGACGGAAATACCGGCTTTGGACAACAGCCATCGCACAGTCTTGGCGTGGCGGCTGCGGATAGCAACATGCAACGGTGTCAATCCGTCCTTGTCGGCCACATTGACATCGGCTCCGCCTTCGATCACCAGCCACTTGACCACCTCCCAGTTCTTGTCCTGAGCAGCAGCATTCAGCGGTGTCCCTCCGTCCTTGTCGGCCACATTGACATCGGCTCCCCCCTCGGTCACCAGCCACTTGACCACCTCCATGTGGCCGTTCCAAGCAGCAGCATGCAGCGGTGTCCCTCCGTACTTGTCGGCCACATTGACATCGACTCCGCCCTCGGTCACCAGCCACTTGACCATCTCCCAGTTCTTGTCCTGAGCAGCAGCATTCAGCGGTGTCATTCCGTTCTTGTCGGCCACATTGACATCGGCTCTGCCCTCGGTCACCAGCCACTTGACCATCTCCCAGCTCTTGTTCTGAGCAGCAGCATACAGCGGTGTCCTTCGGTACTTGTCGGCCACATTGACATCGACTCCGCCCTCGGTCACCAGCCACTTGACCACCTCCCAGCTCTTCTTCCGAGCAGCAACATACAGCAGTGTCCCTCCGTCCTTGTTGGCCACATTGACATCGGCTCTGCCCTCGGTCACCAGCCACTTGACCACCTCCATGTGGCCGTCCTGAGCAGCAACATACAGCGGTGTCCCTCCGTCCTTGTCGGCCACATTGACATCGGCTCCGCCCTCGGCCACCAGCCACTTGACCATCTCCCAGTGCCGTCCTGAGCAGCAACATACAGCGGTGTCCACCCGTCCTTGTCGGCCACATTGACATCGGCTCCGCACTCGGTCACCAGCCTCTTCACCTCCTCCTGGTCACCTCTCCTCACAGCCGAGCACACCTCCAACACCAGGTCACCCCCAGCAGTCCTCCACACCATCCCGTCCCCTGCACCTTCAGCCATATGCCTCCCACACCCACAGCACACAACACACGAGAGAGGTGTACCCCCGTACCCCCTCTTCCCCTTCCCCTCCTCCCTCTGCCGGCTTCCTTGCCGTCACAGCGACACCGAATGCGTTTTTCGCCAGAGAATCCCCAAAAAATACATATCGCAAACATGCGACAGTGACTCTGTTCTGCCCGGCTGGAGCCATTACCAGCTACTGACCTGCGCAGTCGGTCTTGCTGGTAGTCGCTGTCATCAGAGGAGGTACATGAATGAGCGATCATGTCGGTCTACGTGGGTTGGGGAGTGTGTGTGTGCGAGGGGGTGGGGGTGGGTAGCTCGTCGGCGAGGGCGTTGTCCACCGCGTCGTTTACCGCGTTATGCGCTATGTGGCGATGTTGCTCGTCCCCCTCCCTCCCCAAGCACTCCAACGTTGTCGAGATCATGACCACAATCCTCCTTCTTCCCTGTGGCTGCTGTTCACTGTTCAATCCACCTCGTCTTCATCCGCCCTCCTCAGAGTCATCGTCCGAGTCCACCTCGTCCACTTCCTCGACAACGACTTTGGTGACGTCGACAACTGCGTCGACCTCCTCCTTGCCCTTGGCTTTTGCTTGCCACTCGGCTGGGTCAAGCACCACCTCGAGCGGTGGCGGTGCTTCGGCCTCAGCCTCAGCCTCAGCCTCGGCCTCAGCAGCCGGTCCTGCCGCCGCATCTGGCTTGGCGGCCTCGGCTTCGCCGGCCTTGAGCGTCTCCATCAGCGCCTTGCTCTCCTCGGCCTCGGTCACAAACGTCTGGTACGCCGAGTACTCTGTCGAGTCGAGGGCGGCAAGCTCTGCCGCCCGGACGGCATTCTCGTGCTCCTCGGCGTCGATGCCAGCTTCTGCGAGCGCCTCTGCCCTCAGCTGCTCCATGGCCTCGAACCGGCGCTGCGCCTCGGCTTGCTTGGCTGTAGCAACCTCTGCCCGGGCTGCCTCCTCGGCCTCCTTCCCACCGGCGGCAAAGGCCTCCGCATACTTGCGTTCATCGGGAAAGACTGGGCGGTCGTCGAGGTACTTGAGGTTCGGTAGGGCGGCGATGACGGTCTTGCGGTAGCGCGGAATTGCGCGGACCACCGGGTTGCCGACCAGGACGAGAACGCCGAGGTTCGGCAGAGCGCGAAAGACGTCAAGCACGGCAGGATCCTCCAACGAGTTGTGCGAGAGGTCGATGATGCCAAGCGAGGCAACACTCGCCAGCGCAGCCACATCCTCCACACTCGCCAGCCTGTTGTGTGTCATGTTGAGCGTGTGCAGCGAAGAGCACGACTCGAGTCCCTGGACCGACTCGATAAAGTTGTGCGACAAGTTGAGGGTGTCCAAGTTGACGAGAGCATTCAAGCCCGACATGACGGAGATGCAGTTCTGCTGAAGATAGAGACACCTCAACTGAGTCATACCACTCAAGCCCGAGATCCTTGAGATGCCATTGCCCTCGAGCCACAATGCCTTGACACCGGTATACTCATCCAAGTTCTGATCCTTGTAAAGCCCTTGAAATGAAGATAGAGCTTATCATTGAGATGCGGAGTCACATACCCTCCATTCTCTCTACAGATAGCCACAATGGTCTTCTTGTCCATCCTCCTCCGGCCGTCTCCATCACCACCACCACCATCACCCCATCACCCATACCCATACCCATACCCATACCCATACCCATGCCCGTCCCTCTCCCCATGGAGTTCGATCTACATCCGACCGACTTCCTCCTCCTTCAGAACAATCCCCTCCACTCGTTGCCATACTTCCCCGTCTGCCTTCCCCTCTCCCTGACAATGACGACGATGATGATGTTGTTGACGATGACGATGACGAGCCACTGCCTTGGTCCTGGTCAAAGAGCGACGGACCGGTGGTGGTGCTGGTGATGGGAATGGACGACGACATGAGTACGTGTATGTATGCGCGCGTCTATGCCTATGTGTATATATCCTGATGTTCGTTCTCGTGCTTGTCCTCGTGTTGGGGCTAAGGGAGGTGTTGGCGACGTCGTCGTCGTCCTCCTCGTCCTCCTCCTCCTCCTCGCCATGTCGCATTGAGGTCGCTCTCTGTCTCACTTTGCCATCATGCTGTTTTCGCGCCAACTTTGGTTGAGAGTGGTGATGATGGGGGGTGGGGGGTGTCAGTAAATTTTTTATGAGCTGGTGTAAGGCTACAGCAGGTTGGTGGTGTAGTCGGTCCCTCTCACGTCGTCCAATCTCCACATGCGAACGTCCATCTCTGGTGACATGCCAACCATGACAACATCGCGGTCGCGCGATGCTATCGACGCCCTGCTGGAGACCGAGTCGAACCGGTCGACAACATCATCGGCCCGGCGGCGCCGGCGGCGCAAGCAGAAGAGCACGCAGCGAATGCACTCGTTTGCAGTGTTGCGACGATATTCGATGGGGGGGGGGGGGGCACGATCAAGCTCGGTACGCTTAGTCATCTCTGCTTTTGCCTAGAGACTGTGTATCTGCTGGTTTTCTGGTGGAGACAGCGCCCATGAGCTGGGTCGCCTACTTGCTGAGAACGGCCACGCCCGGGAGCTCGATGCCCTGCAGCAGCTCGAGGGTGGCGCCTCCGCCTGTGGAGACATGCGAGAAGGCGCTGGTGAGGTTCTGCTCAGCGACGGCAGCGACCGAGTCGCCGCCGCCGACAACAGTCACCACCGATGGGTCATCCGAGCGGAGGTCGGCGAGGAGGCGAGCGAGGCCGGCGGTGCCTGTGGCAAACGGTGGTGACTCGAAGAGGCCCATGGGCCCGTTCCAGAGCACTGCCTGCGAGCCCTTGAGGGCAGCGGCAAAGAGGTCAAGCGAGGCCGGGCCGATGTCAAGGCCCATGGCTCCATCCGGGATGCCGGCACCCGGCGCGAGGTCGACAACGTCGCCCACGGTGGCAGCCGAGATCGACTCAGCGATGGCGGCGTCGCAGGGGAGGACGAGCGAAACGCCGGCAGCGGCGGCGTCGTCGACGAGCGATGCGGCGTCGGCAAGGAGCTCGCGCTCCACGAGCGAGTTGCCCACCGGCACGCCTTGCGCGGCGAGCAGGGTGTACGCCATGCCGCCGCCGACGATGAGGGTGTCGACCCGCGGGAGGAGCGCCCGGATGAGTGGGAGCTTGGACGAGACCTTGGCCCCACCGAGAATGGCGGTAAATGGCTTGGGCGGCTTGTCGACTAGCGGGAGCAGCGCGGCAAGCTCGTCCTCCATGCACAGACCGGCGACGGCGTGGCGGGCGGCGGCAGCAGCGCCGACCGTCGAGCCGTGGGCGCGATGCGCGGCGCCAAAGGCATCACCGACGTACAGGTCAGCGCCATGTGCTAGAGCAGCAGCAAAAGCCGGCTCGTTGACCGTCTCACCAGGATGCAGGCGTGTGTTCTCCAGCACCACGATCTCGCCCGGCCCGAGTCGATCCCGGGCGGTGGCCGCCTCTGCCGAGACGCACGACGAGGCGTTTGCAAACGAGACCTTTGCCTCGCCAGCGAGCAACGATGCGAGCTCTGCAGCGACAGGTTCCATCGAGAAGGCAAGGTTATCCTTTGCCAGGCCGAGCACATCATGGTCGTGGTGATCATGTCCCTGCAAAGTGTGGTTTTCTGTGGTTTCCCCCGAAGATGCAAAACCGGCGGCCAAATCGGCCAGCGACCACTCGCCATGGCTCCCTTCCGCCGATGGCAGAGAGTGCATGGCAGACGGACGACCAAGATGTGAGACAAGAGTGATCCGTGCCTGTGCCTCGGTCAGTAGGCGGAGGGTGGGCAGGGCGGCAAGGAGACGGGTCGGATCTGAGATGGTGGGCATGTCGGTGGTGGTGGTGGTGGTGGTGGTGGTGGTCATGGGCGTGTTGAGGTCGGCACGGACAAGGACAGATGCCCCGTAGAGTGTGCCGCGGGGATGCTGCGGAGGGTGGCGAGACGGTGCATGGTGGGGGGTATGGGTGTGTGTGGGGTGTGGGGTTGGGTGGGGTTGAGTGTGTGTGTGTTTGTGGTGGTGGTGGTGGTGGTGGTGGTGGTGGTGGTCATTGTAATGGTGATGGTGATGGTCATTGTGATGGTGATGGTGATGGTGATGGTCATTGTGATGGTCATTGTGATGGTGATGGTGATGGTGATGGCCATTGTGATGGTGATGGTGATGGTCATTGTGATGGTGATGGTGATGGTCATTGTGATGGTGATGGTCATTGTGATGGTCATTGTGGTGGTGATCATAGTCGCGGTCATACACGTGATCCTGGTCGCAGCTGTAGCCGCCCTGTGTCCGCTGCCCTGGTCGTGCACCACTCACTCCTCCGCCCGCACAGTCCCGCTCTCGCCGATGTCGGCCTCGCCCTCGGCCGCCAATGCCACATCAAAGGCCTTGGCGAACATGGCTACGCCGCGCGGACAGATGTCCACCAGCCGGATGTTCCACACATGCCGACTAGTGCCATTCTCCCTCCGCCGCGCCAGCCACCTCATCACCGCCTCGACCACCGCCGTCCGCGCCGCCATCTGTTCTGCAGCCTTGATCTTGCTCGTCGCGCTGTAGTGGGTGAAGATCCCGCCCGAGATGGCCGGCACCGCCACAGACGCCATCATCACAGACTCGCCACCCGGAGCAAGACCATCATCTCTCACTTCGACCCCAACATCCTCCTCAACCGTATCTGGACGATCCCCATCGCCCGCCGGCCCGGCCCGACCACTTTGCGAGCGGACAGAATCCAGGGCGGCAACGACGCGCTCTGCGGCCGTTAGAGCACGACGGACGGTGCGCCGGATGCGCGGGACAACCTTGGCAAAGGTGGCTCTTGCCACGGGCCAGTCTGTCCAGATGGGACCGACGGCATGGACGACGTACCGCACACCACGGACAGCAAGACCTCCCTCAGCCAGCTGGACTCCGGCCTGAGTCGATGGCACGCTGACGCCTGACCTCTCCTCGCCATCGTCACGCCACCATTGCTTGATCTTCCTCGTCACGTCCACCGGATGGCTGGCTCGTCTCAGTGCACCCGATACGCCGCAGTCCATGGCCGTAAACGAGAGCGAGTTAGCCGCGTTGATCACCACATCGACCTCCTCCTCGGCAATGTCGCCTGCCACAACCTCCACCACACTCCCGCACGCCATCGTCGCCGTTCGCACAACACGTCGCCGCTGCTTTCGCCGTGACGCCATTTGATCCGATCCAATCCAATCCGATCTGTTCTGATCTGTCCCGTTCTGTTCCGTCCTGTTCCGTTTGCCGCCTCTCCGATCTACCGCGTCAGCAGCCGGAGATTGAGAGACGTGTCCGACCGCCCGACCGCCCGATCGCCCGCCCGATCGCCACTACCTTGGAGACAACACAGCTGCTGTCGCCCATCACTACTCGAGCTTCATTTTCTCCTCCTCCTGCTCCTTTGCCCGTGCCCGTGCCCGATCCCGGACCCGCTCTCTTGCCCGGACTCGCGCCTCGCGTGCCCGCGCCGCCGCGGCCTGGCTCTGCTCACGGGTTAGCTCGGCCATGGCCGCCATCTCGCCCTTGGTTCGCGCGATGAGTGCTTCAGGCGACCGATACAGCTCGACAAGCTCGCCATAGAGATCTTCCTCCAGCCGCAGGCCAGCTTTGCTCTGGCGCGCCACAGCCATGTCGCGGCAGAGCGTGAGAATCGGGTCCGGGTTCGGCTCGAGGTGGTTGAACATGATCGAGTGGGCCACGCCCGAGACGTACGACCGCAGCATCCGCCCGATGGCGAGCACAACGCCGACGTAGACTCCGATGAGCCCGCCGAGCACCGCAAGCACCGTGTCCGGCAACTCGTTCGAGTATACAAAGATCATCGGCCGCGCCCCACTCCCGCGCACCGCGTCCCACATCCCGGCCTCGCTCCGCTGGCTCACAAACCACTGCACGCTTCCGTCGCTCAGCGAGAGCGCCCCGATCTCCAGCGGAATGGTCGTCGCCCCGCTCCCGCTCAGCGGACTCGCCGGCGCGCCGAGCACCACTATCCGGGGCAGCACTTTGGTGAGCCCGATCCCAAGCCCGGTCACGTTCCATCCGGCCTCCAGCAGACTATCGGTGCTGAGACCGGCGCCACGGCTCGCGTTGCCTAGCATCATCCCGAGCTCCCCGGCCTCGGCCTGACTCAGCTCGCGGCCGTAGTTGGCGGCGACGACCCGATGCTCCTGCTCCTTCACCCGCTCGACTCGCATTCGCACCACCAGCCGCGCCACCCGCTCACCGCGCCCGGCCGCTGCAAGATCCGCCGCCGCCTGCGCTGCCAACGCCCGCGGCACAGGCCAGGCCCGCTGCGAGATGACCGGCAGCGAGGCCACCTGGACCGCATCCTTGCGAAAGAGCGACTCGGAGAGCAGGCCGGACGATGCCTCTACTGTCCGGGTAAAGTTTGTGGCTCCGCCCACCAGAGGTTGCACCTCGCGGACAACAGCCAGATCGCCTGTCTCCGTCGACACCATCGCCTCGTACAGCGGCGCCAGCGCGTCGAGCTGGATGCTCACCGTGACTCGCTCCACAGGATTGGCCGCCAGCGCAGGATTCGCTGATGAGAAGATGAACAGCGGGAGCCAGAGAATGATGACCATGAAGACGAGCAGGACGCAGCCAGTAGAGAGCTTGACCGCCGCAGGCCGCGCTTCGCCGCGCGATCGCTCAGTGGCGGCCTCGGAGAGCAGCCGGCACTTGACGAGAAAGACCGATGAGAACACGTCCTCGACCTGGAGCCATTGGTAGAAGAGCAGTGTCGTCGGCGTGCACATCCAGTCGAGAAGGACCCGCAGCTCGTACACAAACGGCAGGGCGAGGTAGGCCGAGAACACATACCCGCCCATCTTCGAGGCCTTTTGGGTCAGCGCCTGCCCCGAGGTGTATCGTGGGAAGCCGCAACGGATCTGGATGGCCACGAGGACCAGCGATACCATCCGCAGGATGTAGAAGACCACCAGCGCGCCCGAGGCCGTAAACGGCTTGGCCGTTGTCTGCGGGACGTAGAGAAAGAGGAAGACGTGGAGGCCGATGGTCACTCCGCACGCATACACCAGCGCGCCCGTCAGCCATTGCTTGAGATACACGGCCCGATAGGCGAGAATGAGGATGAACTGCGCGAGAAGCACAACGATAAAGGTGACAGGAATCTGGTTGGCGAAGAGGAACTGCACAAAGTTGGTCGACTTCCCGTCGTCCTTGCGGAACGCGCCCCAGATAAAGATGGTGAAGACAAACGAGGCCAGATCCGTCCCAAACGTTGCCATATACGTATCCACCTCGGCCGCCTTTTCCGCATACACGCCCTCGACAAATCCCATGATCTGGCTCTTGATCTCCGCCACCATCGCCTTGATCTGCGCCACCTTGCCCGAGCCCGAGCCCGAGTCCGAGCCCGAGCCCGAGCCCGAGTCCGAGCCCGAGCCCGAGTCACTCGCCTCTTCCTGCTCCTCCACTCCTCCCTCTTCCTCTCTCTCGTCCTCCTCCTTGTCAAGCCCCTTCCGCCGGATGATCCACATGTGGATGTACAGCACAACAAGGACGACGAGATCGATGGCGACGTGAGCGAGAAAGACCGTCTCGTTCGACTTGACCACTCCGATGACCCACGGGAGCGAGAGCCGCTTGCTGTACGATGAGGCGATGAGGGGCGGACACGAGGTGTCTGCGGTGTTGAACGCGTACCCGATCCGGGTCGACGTTGACTCGACGTCGCGGAAGACCTTGATGCAGAAGAGCGGGAGCTGGAACACGAGCTTGATCATGATCATCGCCTCCACGTACCGCGACATGCCCACAAGGTAAGCCAGCGATGGCTCTGGGTAGCGCACAAGGCCCACCAAGACCAGCGAGATGGGAAGGACCGACGAGAGAATCGAGGCTCCGAGAAGGTGCGCGAGGACCATGGCCAGCGCCACGCCCACCATCGTCGAGTGGTAGGCCAGCCGCTGAGCCGCGAAGAGGGCAATGGCAACCGTCGATGCCCGCGGCAGCTTGGCCTCCACCGCCTCCAGCCGCCCACGGACACGCGCGCTCATGTTGTAGTACGGATCGTTGTTGTACGCGTACAGCGCCGCCGCCACCACACGCTCCCACCGTAGCAGGACGGCCGATGCGGCGCCATCAGCCAAGCTTGCCTCCAACGCGTCCTCGGCCTCATCCATTGCCGCCAGCTTTCCCAGAAGCGCCTGCCGCTCTGCCGCAAGCATCACAACCTGCGGCGCCAACGGCGCGACCTTGCCCTCGGCTCGCATCGCGCCCAGCAGCGCCGCATCGGCCTCGGTGGCAAACTGGGTGTGCTCGGTCAGCATCGCCCGCCGCACCTTCTCGGTCTCGTACATCTCGCTGTCCACCGCCCACAGTGCCCACTTGATCACCCGCGCTCCGCCGGCCCCTGCCTTGTCACGCCCGGAGCTTACCACCGCCATCGCCGCTCGCTGCACACTCGCCAGCGCGTCCTTGATCTTGACTATGAGCGGCTTGGACTCGGACTCGGACTCGGACTCGGACTCGGAGTCCGAGTCCGAGTCCGAGTCGAGCGAATGCGGCGACGACGACAGCGCCTTCTTGTCCACCGCCACATCGACATCGTCCATGGCGACGGCGTCTCCGCCGCCGTCGTCAACCTCGCCAGGCGGCGAGGCGAGCGAGACTCCACGCGATCGGGCGACAGCCTCGAGATGAGCGGCGGCAGAGTCGACGTCAAACAGGGCCTTGCGATGCTTGCGCTGCTCGCGTAGCTGAGCAGTGCGTTCGCGGCGGATGATGTCCTCGCGGGCGCGCGCAGCTGCAACCTCTTCCTCGGCCGCCCGGCGCTGGGCCCGCACGTAGGCGGCCTTGATCTTGGCGTGGCGGAGTGCGGCGAGGTTGCGGGCGTGGAAGATCTCGTACCGGGCCGAGGTAAAGGCGACGGCCTGGACGTGGACGAGGAGAAAGATGATGATGTCGAGGCCGAGGCCAACCGATGAGAAGAGCTTCGAGTAGGGGAGCTTGAACAAGCCGATGTTGGCCTGGACGACCGGCGCTACGTCGTGCGGGACAAGCGGGAACTGGAAGACGATCTTGGCAAAGATGACCACAAAGTTGTAGAGCTGGAGGAGGCCCCAGAGCTTGCGACGGCGCGGAAGGATCGAGTCCGCTAGCCGTAGGTACTTGAGCGCAATGGCAAAGTAGCCCATCGAGAGCAAGGTGATCTCCTCGCGCCCGGCCACAGCCACCAGGATTGCTAGCAGGACGACCCGATACGAGTGCCGGAGCACTGCGTCGGTTGCTGCCGACGCCGTCATGGCCAACGCTGCCTTGTTCTCGGCGGCCGGCGATCCAACGGCTGACTCTACCGCATCGGCCCCGGCAACCTCGCTGGCCACCTCTTCGTCGGCCGCGGCGTCCTCGGCGGACAGACCGGTCTGTGACGGAATGGCAAACGCAGCGGCCACCACAAGCGCGTCGAGGACGAGGAACCAGCGATTGGTCATGAGGAGGCCGAGCCACTCGGCGAGCGACGCATCCCATCCGACCCGGAGACCCGGCCGCCGAGCCGTCTCGCACCCGCCGCCGGCCGCATCGGGCTTGCACAGGCACGAGCCGAGCGGCGAGCACACGCCTGAGCCACAGATCGAGCCCAGATCATGGTCGCACCGGACCCGCCCGCGCCCGCCCACCACCATGGCGTACTGCCAGCCCATCGCCGCCGCCACCACCGCCCGCAGCACCATCCGCCGCCGGCTTGCCTTTTCTCGCGTGCTCACCACAAGCACTGCCGCGAGAACGAGGTAGCCCAGGCCGATAGCGTTGGCCTTGATCACCGCCGCGCCCGCAAGCATGCAGATGAGCACATCGCGCGCATACCGCCTTGGTCGAGAGCTCACCACCCATCGCCACCCCTCGGCCACTCTCGCCTTGGTCGTACTCCACCACGACTGCAGCCGAGTCTGCGATGACGACGACTTTGGCGACGATGCCGATGATGCCGATGATGCCGATGATGCCGATGAGCCAGAACCTGAGCCAGGCACAGCACCGACTCCAGCGGCAGACCACACAGACGGCCCCGGCGACATGGCCACGACCATCGTCATGACCACGACCATCGTCATGACCACGACCATTGTCATGACCACGACCATCGTCATGACCACGACCATCGTCATGACCACGACCATCGTCATGACCACGACCATCGTCATGACCACGACCATTGCCATGGCCACGACCACCGCCATCGGCATCGGCATCTTGCCACCTCGCCGACCACGACAACGACAGCGCCGAGTAGAAGGACTCATCCCCCGCACCAGATGCAGAGCCAGCAACATCTCTTCCTCCAGCGCCAGCGCCAGCGCCAACGCCAACGCCAGCGCCAGCGCCAGCGCCATCGCCATCGGGATCACTGCTCGTCCGACTTTGGCCATGATCTGCTGCTCCTCCTCGGCCACCATCATCAGCTCGGCTCGAGTCCGAGGCCAAGCCCGACGAGCTCGAGGACCAGTCGCTCATGCCGCACCTTGCTGGTCTTCCGGACAGTCTGCCTGTCTGTCACTCGCGTGCTCGCTCTCTGCCACCCGCAGTGCCGGCGAGGAGTACCGAGAGCTGTCGGTTGCTCCTGCTCTCTTCTGTCCAGCTTCTTGTTGTGTGCCGAGCTGCAGCGAGCGGGCAAGGTGCGGATCGTGGAGCGGATCAACCAGACCTGATCCAGGTATTCTGTGTAACACTAATTTTATGTGGCGCACCCCCACCCGCGGACACGCATGAAGGTTGCCGGCGGTGGCGGGCCGATCTCGGGCATGTGGCTACTCTCGAATGGAGAACTCGGTTCGCTCCTTGCCGCCGGTGGCCGGAGTTGACTGGAGGAAGCCGATGAGGGCGTTGAGGACAAAGTCGGGCCAGCGGTAGAGGTCGCGCTCGACAGGGACAAAGATGCCGTGGCCGGCCTGCGCAGCGGCAAAGACGGAGACCACATCGCCGGCGGCAACATCCTCCCCGCTAAGGTAGCGCGAGAAGAGGCGGGCCTGAAAGGCGGCCACCTCGGGCCCCGAGACAAAGAGGCCGAGCTCCGAGTCAGTCGGCTCGGACGAGAGCGAGCGGTCCGAGAGGTTTGACGAGGAGCGGATGAGGTGCTGCGAGTCGACGACGATCATATTCGAGTGGACCTTGACCAGGACAGAGTCGTGCTCGAGGAAGCCGACAAAGACATGCTGGTAGAGCTGCTCAGTGGAGACGCCTGCGGCGGCCACGGTCCGCTCCAGATGGCGGAGGCTCCAGACGAGCGACGACGAGCAGTAGAGGCGGGTGACAAAGGACGGCTCGTCCTGCTGGGCCATGTTGGTGAGGATGACGACGCGGAAGGCGTCGTCGCCCTCCTCCACGGCGCGCACCACCCGCGCGGCGATGGCGCCCACGATGCCGTTCTGCGAGGACTCGCCAGACATAAAGGCCTGGTTCTCGAGGTGGATGGACGACTTGGCGCCTTCGATGAGCTCGCGCATGAGCTGGGCCTCGGTGGCGTGCGCCACCAGTGGGAGCGGCGGCACACGCTGGGTGCTCACCTTGCCGCTGGTGTTGGACGAGAACCATGAGGCCATGGCCGCCTTGGTCTGTGAGCCGTTCCGGGCGTGGATGACGGCGCCTAGCTCGTGCCAGTAGTAGCCGAGCTCGTTGACCTCGAGCCAGCCGGCCCGCTCGGTGTTCATGTCGCAACCGGTGACCATGACCCACTCGGCCGAGTCGATGGCCACGTACTTCTGGTGGTGGTACGACCAGCTCTCGTTGTTGGAAAAGTAGAGCATCCATGGGGCAGGCCCCAGCGAGCCGCGGAGGCACACAATCTCCACGGGCGCCATCGCAGCCTTGAACTCAGCCACCGACAGGTTGCCGTAGCACGAGGCAGGATTGTAAGCCATCCGCACCTCGACACCGCGCTCGGCAGCCGCCACCAGCACGTCCCGCACAGTCGGGTCGTTGTCAGAGTACTCAACCTTGCCGGTCATCGGCTCGCCGTTGGGCCCGCCGCTCCACTGCGGCAGCCGCACAAACGGGTCGCAGATGAACGTCGAGTACTCGATCTTCTCCTTCGCCTGCTCCACCAGCCACCGCACGCTCGCCTTGCACTCGTCAAAGTCTGCCAGGAGCCTCACCTCTTCACGATCATCGGCTAGCGCAAGCGCAGCCTCACGCCTCCTCGCCACATCCCCGAGCGACGACGACGATGCAGACGCCGTCAGCGTCTGCGACGACGACTGCGACGACGACGACGAGCTACTTGCCATCTTTCAGCAAGTGCTCGACGATAAATGTGTGTAAAGGGACCAAGCTGGTGACCTCAGGTGTCGGTACGATTAAACAACGTTCAAAAGATCGTTGCCTTGCCGCCAAAAACCAAAGGCTTTTGATGACGTGCGCCGTTTGTTCGGCACTTGCAGCGGGCGCGGGTGTGCGAGTTGGAGAGGGCGAGATTACACGCCTATTCGATCTAAACTCGGAGGCAATGCTGCACATAGTACCATATACCTTCCATGTGAGTGATATCTCTCTAACTTGCCGCATTCTCTATACCTGCCCCTGGCTGGCTCCGGGACATGTCGCGTGACCGGCCGCCCATCCCGCGCATCGCCGACCATTCACTCTTCGTCAGCGCCACCCACCACCTTTCCGGCTCACAGAGGAGGGATATGCCCGCCTCTCACGCCAACAAAGGCCACCAGTTGCCCTTCCACCATCCTCTCTTCCACCTCAGCTGCTTTTTCCGCTTCGCTTCCGACCACCGTACCTGTTGTGGGTCACCTGTCGACACGTGTAGCGTGACCAGGGAGTGATGAACGACTTGCCTTCGCGAACAATCAACTTTAGTTGACGATATCGATTCCACCGCGTCGCTCTCCGACGCTTTACCATTCTTTCTCCTTTTGTTAATCGTTGGTCAACGCGGAGAATCGGAAGCTCATTTTCGCCGCCATCCCGCCGCTCGCCGAAACGGAGATTTGGCATGTGACTGACGCGCTGCTGTGCCGCTAACGCGCTGCTGTGCCGCTGACGCATTGCTGACGTGACGATGGTGATGAATGGTGATGGTGATCCGCTGTTGAAGACCGATCGAGTGGGGGATGGACGGCGGTGGTGGTGGCGGCGCCGATGGCTATCATTTAGTTGGGCGAGCGCGTGGGAAGCGTGCAGGCATGCGACGGGGCAGAGCCGCACGTGCGAGTGCTGGTCACCAGAGCTGGGCGCTAGAGCTGGGCGCTAGAGCAGGGCGCGCTTCTTGGTTGGCGGGCCGGCCGAGTCGGCAACGTTGGCAAGGACGTCTTCGAGCTCGGTGATCGAGTACCAGCCCTCGCGGACGACCGGACCGCGGAGGAAGGGCGAGCCGGGCTCGCGGATGGTGAACAGGTAGCGATCGCCGTGGATGGGGTCGGTGTGAGCGCCCTTGAGCGTGTCAAACTCGACGGGGATGGTCCGCCCGTCGGCCGTCCGCAGCTCGAGATCGCGGAGGTCCATGACGTGCGGCATGCGGATGATGCCATTCAAGGATGCCAGGTCGCGCTTGCGGCTTGGCTGCGACGACGATGCGGCCAAGCCCAGTCCTGGCCGGCTGACCAGCTCAAGTGCCGGCGGCGGCGATGGCGGCGGCGGCGGCGAGGGGGAGTGTGGCGGCGACGGTGAAGCCAGTTGAGCGGCGGTGGCGGCGGTGGCGGCGACGGTGGCAGCGGCGCCACTCGCGTTAGCCTCGAGGGTGAGGCTGACCATTTTGCTCAGCTCGCCACTGTTGACGTGGTACCAGCCCGAGTGGAGGAGGGTGCCGTTGTAGCGGATCTGGGTGTAGACCATGTCGTCGGCGTCTGGATGGATGCCACGCCTGCGCATAACTGCCAGAGTCACACCATCGCGACTGAGCTGCTTGACCTTGGCCACCATCTCGTCGGTCACCTCTCTCCGGTGGGGGGCTGGCACCAGCTTTGCCTTCGCAGCCCGGGCCAGGGCCAGGATCGACGGATCGTCGACATCTTCGGCCTCGACACGACCAAAGGCCCCCGACGGATCATCAGTCGTCGGCTCGTAGCCAAGCGAGTGACGAGCACTAGCTCCTCCCCGCTCTGCCCCGCTCTGCCCTGGCCAGCTCTGCCGACGCAACTCGTCGGAAGCTGCGTGTTTTTGGCTTGCTGACAACGGAGAAATCGCGATCAAGGATGACAGCATCCAGAGCATGATCAATGAGTTGACCATGAGCAATGCGATGAGCAAGAGCATTGGCCTCGGCCAATGAGAGCCAACCTGAGAAGCAGGAGGTCGAGTTGCCACGAGAGAAGAACTGCCAGTAAACGAGGTCCGAGTTGATGGGATGACGACGATTTCTCCATGTCACATACGCACGAATGCAATCCGATGAACCCTTGGCCACCACATGTGCTATCTCTTCCTTATTCAAAGCAATGCGATCAGCATGTTTCACACCACGGCCTTGTTTGACTCTCGCTCGCACCACCTCCATGTCACGTAGGTCACAGCCAAAGTGAAGGGGAAAGGGGTTGACCTTGTTTGGGTGGGGGAGGGTGTTACGGCTGGTTGTGGTGGTGGTTGTGGTGGTGGTGGTGGTGGTGGGGGGGGGGGTGAGGGGGGTGAGTGTGGTGGTTGTGGGGATGGCTATGGTGGTGGTGGTGGTGGTGGTTGGTTGGTGGTTGGTGGTGGCTGGTTGGCTGCTCGACGGATTGGATGGCTCTTTTTTGGTGATTGCAATGATGGTTATTTTGGGGTGGAATGGGAGGGGGAGGGGGGATAGCATTGGATGGGATGGGATGAGGGGGAGGGGATGATGAGCATGGTTGCCGAGTTTGGTAAGGGGGAGGGGGAGGATGGGAAGGATGGGAAGGATGGGGAGGATGGGAAGGGGGGTATGAAGAGTGGTGGTGTCGTGGTGAGGGGGCTGACAATGCAGATGGGAGATGGGGATGGGGATGGGAGGGGAGGGGGGAGGGGGCGATGAGTGAGATCAGATTGTAGGTGCGTGTGTGTGATTTGTCTGTGCGTGTGTGCGTGTGTGTGTGTGTGTGTGTGATTTGTGTGTGTGTGTGTGTGTGATCTGCGCGTGGCTGGAGTAGACACCCTTCCTCTTCCTTGATCCGTCGATGATCACATAATATCATCGCCTGAAATACCTCCCTCCTCTCGCCAATACCAGCCCCAGGTACGAACAACAAGCAGCACAGCCATCCGTAGCCCCATCCATCCGTAGCCCCATCCATCCGTAGCCCCATCCATCCGTAGCCCCATCCCCACCATCTCCCCATCCCCTCTCCCACCACCACCACTGATCATATTCCCAGCCATTGATAGGCAACCATTAATTGTTCGTTTCTGGTTAGGTGTGTTTGGGCGGGAAGTGAGTTGGTGCCCCTCCTCCCCCTCTCCCCCTCCCCCCCCTCCCCCTCCCCCCCCCCCCTCCCCCCTCCCAGCAGCAATACCCAACGCCATTGCCTCCGCACGGAACAAATGGCTGTTGGAGAGGGAGGAGGACGACGAGGGAGAGGGACCAGGGAAGGGACCAAGGAAGGGACCAGGGAAGGGGGAAGGGGAAGGGGAAGGGGAAGGGGAAGGGGAAGGGGAAGGGGAAGGGGAAGGTCATGGCAGAGAGCCACGACGGCAACGGCAACGATGACCATTGCCAAAGTCACTGGTGATGCCAATGGTGCCAACGGCGTCAATGTCAATGGTGCCACTCGTGGTGGGAATGGTGCCACTCGCGCCACTCGTGCGACTCGTGGCGGTAATGGTGCGACTCGTGGCGGGAATGGTGCGACTCGTGGCGGGAATGGTGCGACTCGTGGCGGTAATGGTGCGACTCGTGGCGGTAATGGTGCGACTCGTGGCGGGAATGGTGCGACTCGTGGCGGTAATGGTGCGACTCGTGGCGGGAATGGTGCGACTCGTGGCGGGAATGGTGCGACTCGTGGCGGGAATGGTGCGACTCGTGGCGGTAATGGTGCGACTCGTGGCGGCAATGGTGCTGGCAAGCGTGCCATTGGTGGTGGTGTGACGGGCATGGTGGCTTCCTCGCGAACTGGGCTTGCTGTGGTGGCGGGTGATGGGGTGAGGGGATCGGGGACGACGGGGACGGGGACGATATCGGCATCGGCATCGGCATCGGTATCGGTATCAGCAGCGGCATCGGCATCGGCTACTACTACTGCTGCTGCTGCTGGTGGTCCTGTTTCTGCTGGTGCTGTACTGGGTATGGCGGGCGGGACGGGGACGGGGACGGGGACGGCGACGAGCTCGTCATCGACGTGGAGCTCATGGTCGGATGAGGGTGGCGGGGAGAGGGATGGTCATGATGGTCATGGTCGTGGTCATGATGACGGTCGTCACAGCCATGCTCGAGGTGCTGGACCCGGGGCGGAAGGAGACGACGGGTCCAAGCCGCTCGTCGATGGCCGCGGGCTGTTCACCTCGAGGCACCTGTACTACGCTGCCGGCGAGCGGCACTTCCCGGGACAGCTGCCGGCGTACGAGGATCCTGAGGTGAGGACCGACGCGCTGCCTGCACCGTACGGGGCCATCACCGAGCTGGTCAACACCATTCTGCGGAGGACCATGGCGGCGGTGAGCAAGTTGGAGGCGAGCAATGCGGCGGCGGCGGCGGCGGCGCGCAAGGCCGCCAAGCACGCCCGCGTCGAGCCGTCCAACATGGTCAACAACCTCGCCGGCCACGTTGTCTCCATGGCCATGGCGCCCAACTCGTCGTCGGCCGTCGTCTTTGTCCTCCTCGACACAGGCACTCTCCTCGCCCTCGCCACCTTTCCTGCCCTGCAGATCCTCGGCGAGGCGAGCCTCCCGGCAGGCCTCGGCGACGCTGTCTACGCCTCGGTCTGCCCGCTCAACAACAGGCCGTTCTGCGTCGTCGCTGCCCATCACACCGCCCACGTCTTTGAGGTCCTCCCGGGTACCCACGCCGCCGCCCTCCGCTCGGTCGACGTCACCAAGCTTGCCGCCGTCTCGTGCGATCCTGGCGCGCCGCTCCCGCTCGCCGCCGCCCACTACGAGGCGCGCCACCACCATCACGCCGCGGGCTCATCGGGCGGGGCCGAGGCCGGCGACGCGGCCGACACGCCGCAGGCCGGCTCTTCGGCGGCAGGCTTCCACCACGAGCCGGGTGCGGTGCCGAGCTCGGTCCCCTCGACCGCGCCGCCTCCGCTGCTTCCGCTCCGCCTTGTCGCGCGGTACTCGTTTCCGCACCTGGTTGGCTCGGTCGCCATGTCGCCTGTCACCGCCTCGCACTCCGGCGCCAAGCTTCCGGGCCAAGTTGTGGCCATTGTCACCACCGACGGCGCTATCGTCCTCTACCAGTGGCTCGTGCCGCCGGGCGAGCCCGACGCGCTGCCGGCAGCAGCCACGCCCGAGGCCCTCCCGCGCCTCGTCGCCCTCGCCCGCATTCCACATGCAAGACCCTTTGCCGCCTCGCCGTTCATGTCCAACCTCCTCGCCCGCTCCAAGCCGGGCCTCCTCGCCAAGCTCGCCGGCAAGCTCGGCGGCGCGCCGTCGGCGGCAGACCGAGCTGAAGGTGGCGCACCGGCTGAGGTCAGCTTGCAGGCCGGCGCGCCCGCCGGTGCCAGCGCCGGCGGAAACAGCGGCCACGATCCGTCGTTCCGCCGCTCGCGCTCGTCGCGCTCGCGGCCGCGCTCCGGCACTAGCCGGCGGTCCTCGCGGCACAGCGAGAAGATGGCCGGTAGCGGTCACGGGCACGGTAGCGGTCACGGGCACGGTAGCGGTCACGGGCACGGCGGGAGCGGACTTGATAGCGGCAGCGGGCCGGGCGGGCCTGGCGGAGACGGTGGAAGCGGAACCGGAGGCGCAGCGCTGGTGCCGGGCTCGATCCTGGCGGCGCCCGAGGCACACGCGGTCGGCGATGTTGTGGCCTCGCTCGATGCCATGTACGCCAAGCTCGACCTGGCTGTGGAGACCGTGGCCCACTTTAGCGTCGGCCCGCTTGACGACGTCCTCCGGCTTGTGGTGTGGTGGTCCGGCTGCAACCAGCTCCACACCTACCTCCACCCGCTCACACCGGCCGCCGCCGCAACCCTTGCCGCCACGCCCGGCACATCGGGCGCGCTGTTGGCGGGCGGGCCGGGTGGAGGTGCGGGCGCCAGCGGAGGCGAGAAGGGCACCGGTAGTGGGCACGGGCACGGGCACGGGCACGGGCACGGGCACGGGCACGGGCACGGGCACGGGCACGGACACAGTGGCGACCGCAATGGCGCGGCGTCCAAAAAGTCCAAGCGGAAGAAGGCCGGCAAGGCGAGCAGCACGGCGGGCGGCGGGGGCGGCGAGCGCGGAAGCTCGTCGGGCCGCAGCCGGAGCAACGGCGGGAGCGGTGCGAGCGGCGGAGGCACAGCGGTGGCGGGCGAGGGCGAGGCCGGGCTTGTCGGCGGGATCGGGCGCGGCTCGTCTGCGGCAACCTACGCCGCGTCGCTGCTGCGTACCGGCTGCGGGATGGCGGCGATCAGCTCGCGCGGGCTCGGTGGCGAGCCCGTGGCCGAGCGCGGGCCCAAAGGGCCGGGCGCCGGGCATGTGCTCACCTTTCCGTACTCTGTGACGGCGAGCGCGACGTCGACGGACGCGCTGCTGTCTGCGGTGGGCCTCGCGAACGGCAGCGTGGTGCTCCGCGACGAGGCGCTAGGGACGGAGCGTGCAGTGGTGAGCGGGCACAACAAGGCGGTGCACACGCTCGCGTTCTACTCGTCGCGGTTTCTCCTCTCTGCCGGCGACGACGGGCGGCTGCTGGTGTACAAGATCCGGCCGCGGCTGGAGCTGCTGCACAGCGTGGAGGAGAGCTCGCGGCCGCGTGTGCTGGACATCTTCCCGCTCGACGAGTCGATTCTGCCGTCGATGGCCGGGGCCGGGCCGGGCTTCCCGCTGCTGGCGCTTGTGGCGTGCGCCGGTGAGGCGTGCGTCCGCATCTACGAGCTCGCGCGCGGGCTCCGGGTGGGCAACCTAGTTATGGAGGCCGGGCTTGTGCCGACTATGGACGGGCAGTGGGTGGCGGTGGCGGACGGCTCGCTCACGCTTGCTGCCGCCTACGACGCCACGCACGAGGGCGACGAGACCGACGACGGCTTTGGCTCGTCGTTCTCCTCGGTCGACGACTCGGACGAGGACGAGGCGCTCTCACGGGCCGCCACCGCTGCTGCGGCCGCTGCCCTGGCGAAGAGCATGCCGCGGCGCGGCTCGGGCCTCTCGCTTGGTAGCGGTGGCGGCGGCGGCGGTGGGAGCGCGGTGCCGACCACCGAGGCTGCGGCCAGCTCGTCGGCTTCGGCGGCGGCGGGCATTGTGTTTGGCATTGTCCCGGTCGTGGCCATCACGCCCGACCGCTCGCTCACGCCGGATGGGCTTGTAGCGAGCAGACTCGGCGGGCGGGGCCGTAGGCCGCGGCGGGCCTCGCTCGGCATCGACGCCCACCTGCTGGCGGTGCCGGGCGTCCTCTCGCCGCGCATCCGGCGCGGCCGCCACCACAAGCGTGGCCATGGGCACACAGCTCGGCACACCCGCCGCGTCGAGTCGGCTGAGACGCACCTCAATCTTCTTGCTGGGAGCATAGGCTCGGGCTCGCGTCTCCGTCGGTGCGACGACGACGACGACGACGACGACGACGAGATGGACGACGACGACGATGAAGGCGGAGACGGGAGTGGGCACGGGCAGAGTCGGAGCGGGCGCGGGACGCATAGTCGGCGGCAGCGGCGGAGCGGTGCCGGGCGGCGCGGCAGCGGGAGCAAGGCAAGCAGCCGGCGGGCGTCGCGCAAGGCGCGGCGGAAGCGCGGCAGCAGCAAGAAGGCAGGCGGCGGCAGCGGGCGGCGCGGGAGCAAGGCAGGCGGGAGCGCAAGTAGTAAGGGCAAGGCGTCGTCGTCGCGGCGGAGCGGACGGCGCGGGAGTAAGACCGGCGGCGGAAGCGGGAGCACGCGGAGCAAGGGCCGGAGCGGACGAAGCAAGGGCAAGGCTGGCGCGGGCGGCGGAGGCAGCGCGGCGCGAAGCGGACGGCGCGGGTCAAGCGGCGGGCGGAGCGGGAGCGGCAAGGGCAAGGCCAAGACGCGGAGCTCGCGGAAGAAGGAGAAGGAGAAGACGAGCGGGCGCAAGGGCAAGGCGCGCGAGAAGAAGAAGAGCAGCCGGCGCCGGTCCGGACGCAAGGCGAGCGGACACGGGCGGCGGGCGAGCGGCTCGCGCAAGGCTGGCAGCGGGCGTTTGCGGAGCGGGCGGGCTGGGGCGCGGCGGAGCAAAGGCTCGCGGCGGCGCGGCTCGTGGTCCGAGTATGACGACGACGGCGACGACGACGACGACGACGAGTTTGACGATGACGAGTACGAGTCGGATGACTCGAGCTCAGGCTCGGGAGGCACTGGCAGCACCGAGGCGAGCGGCAGTGACGGCGACGACGACTTTGCGTCGGACTCTGACTCGGATGGGTACGACTCGGGCGAGGAGGGCCGGGCCGGCGGGAGCGGCTGCTTGGGCAGCGGCGCCGAGCCGCAGCGAGTGGTCAAGCACAAGATCCTCATCTACCGGCTGTCCAAGGCGATCCGGGCGTGCCAGAAGGCGATTGCTGCGCGGGGCGGAGCGAGGTAAAGCACGGGCAGGCAGAGAAAGAGAGCGAGCGAGCGAGCGAGCGAGAGAGAGAGAGAGAGAGAGAGAGAGAGAGAGAGAGAGTGTGTGTGAATGTGTGTATGGTGGCGAGCGGGCTTTTACGAGGCAGCGCCGACAAGGACAACTGTGGTGGAGACGAGGCCGACGACGACGCCAACGATGAGGACGGCCCAGGCGCCGATGCGCATGCGGGAGTCGTCGGGCGGTGCGGTGCGGAGGTAGAGGTAGGAGGGGACAACAAACTTGATGAGGACGGCGCCTGTGGAGCCGAGGAAGGAGAGGATGAACTTGATGTCCGGGAAGAGGATGGCGATGGTGTAGGTGGAGGCGACGATGCCGATGGAGAGAGCGAGGAGGCGGGCAAAGGGCGCCGGGCGGGCGTCCGGGAAGAGCAGCATGTCCAGCGAGTTGCGCAGCGACCAGACAAAGAGCGGGTAGGAGAGAGTGACGACGACAGAGATGGCGATGGCTGAAATCTGGACGAGGACGTCGGAGGAGGCAAACGAGAGGAGGACGTTGGCCTCGACCTCTGCGCCGTGCTGCATGTAGGCAAAGGAGGCGACGGCGGCGTAGAGCGAGGAGAGGCCGACGACGACGTACATGGCGATGAGGTTCCAGTTGGCGAGGCTCTGCTTCTGCGGAGCGAGGTCCTTGAAGATGGCGACGGACTGGAGGTGGCCGCCGAGGGCAAAGGCGATGATGGGCGTGGCCACAAAGATGTCCGGGGTGAAGGAGAACCAGGTGACGTGCTTGGCTACGTCCGAGCCCGGATGGGTGGCGATGTACTGCGCGGCGCGGAGGAGGACGGTGAAGACAAAGACATGATGGCGGCGATGGCGAGCATGGAGGCGTGGCGGAGCGAGTCGATGGAGCGGAGCGAGGAGAGCGGGAGCATGACGGCAAAGGTCGGCAGCGTCTGCCACACGGCCCGGGAGGCCCAGAACGAGCGGCTGGCCTCGTCATCGCCAGCGTCGCCATCGATCCAATGGCCGACCACCTTGGGCATGAGATCGCCGACGATGACAATGTAGCCCACGGCAACGCCCATCGAGTAGGCGACAATGAGGAGCTTGAACGCCGTGGCAGCCCTGTCGCCGGCGACTCTCGCCACCAGATCCTCGTACGAGTTGGCCCGAGTGGCCGTCGCGGCGTAGACGATGAAGCGGAGGCCGAGCCATGCGATGAGCGAGAGGAAGATGAGGAGGATCCAGCCGAGGGCAAGGCCAGCCGAAGCGATGGCAAAGGGCAAGCCGAGGACGCCTGCTCCCACTGCGCAGTTGGCCAGGTTGAACGTGGCGCCTGTCCGCGTGCCCTTGGGCAGCGGGTGGACCTTGGTGGTGGTGGTGGTGGTGGTGGTGTCGATGGAGACCGACTCGACTGTGAGGAGGCTGGGGAGGGGAGGGGAGGAGGAGGAGGAGGACGACGACGAGTGGAGCATGGTGGGAGGGGTGGGCGTGGAGAGGGGTGTTGGGGGGGTAACGTGATTTATTGTTGGGGGTATGATTGTGGGGGGGTAACGTGATTTATTGTTGGGGGTATGATTGTGGGGGGGGGGGGTCGAGACACGATTGTTTCCGGCACAAATCGGTCAATGGCCAAGTCAATGGCAGACACGTCATGTCGACCACCGCACATTGTCGTCACGACTGACACGTAGCATGTTGCCTGCGCTTGTGGCGTGGCTCGCGCAGCACAGGCGTCCGCTACAAACCCTTCCAACTGGGCCTATGTCCCGCTCACAGCCTACCGGGCAGAATTTCTGCCACTTGCCTGCAAACTACCCGCAGGAAACGTTTGTCGCACACCATCTGGTCAAGCAAGACCAGGTCAAACTCACCCTGTCCTCCGCCCTGTCAGGTCCCTGCTGGTCATTGACAGTATGACCATGCTCGACTTTGGCACTTCGGATTCTGTGTGGTGTACCACGGTCTCAAGCCAGCCACCCTACCCGCCCCAAGCGCACCTGCGCTATG